CAGCCACTCTGGGTGGCTTCCAACAGAATATTAAAAACACAATAAAACATCAAACATTAAAAACTTCCCTAAACAGGCCTGCCTTCAGATGTCTTCTAAAAGTCAGATAGTTGTTTCTTTCCTTGACATCTGGTGGGAGGGCATTCTACAGGGCGAGTGCCACTACCAAGAAGGCCCTCTGCCTGGTATATTTAAAGTGTATATTTAAAGCACACACACCCCCACAAAGAATCCTAGGAGCTGTAGTTTGTTAAGGGAGCTGGGAATTGTAGTACTGGGAGGATAAACTACAGTTCCCATGATTATTTGAGGGAAAGCCCTGTGTTTTAAATGTTTGGTGTGGATGTAACCTCAGCTGTCTAGGTGCTGCTAACTGCAAAGGTTTCCACTCCTTTCATAAAGGTTGCAGATCTTTAAACCACACATGGATCAAACATCTGTGCTGGCTGGGGCTTCACTCCAAACATCTGGAGGGCACCAGGTTGGGGAAGGGTGCCCTAGGCCACCTGCAAAGCCAAAATGGATGCACAAACACACACCCTTTGCTCTTTAGCAAACAAAGGGCCCTTTCTCCTGGATTTCCTCTCCCTGGGACTGGCAAACAATAAAGAGACATGAAAGTGAGCTCCCTCTTCCCAAGGCCACTGAATGGCTGAGCACATAAAGATGAAAGGTCTGGGTGGGGATGCAGGGGGAGGGCAAGGGGAAGAAGAATCTGCTGAGGAAAATGATACACATGAACCAGCAGAGTGGATTTGGCTGCTGCCTGCAGCCTTGGGAAGATGGGCATCCGACTGTTTCTCAGAGTACTTATCAAACACTTAACTCCCAGAAGGAGGAATGGCAGAGATTGAAAATGATGTGAGGTGTCAAGCAAAGTAGAAAAGAAGCTACACATGGGCACTTAGTTTATTTATTTGTCTTTTAAAAATACTGGGGACCTGAAATTTGATTTAAACAACAAAATATAAATGGTTCACAACAATTATACATACACAATAAAAACCACAGGTGGTTGGGGTTTTTCAGATCATCAGCTAGCTACCACAGAAACTGTTTATCTTGTCTGCATAAGCCTGAGAACAAATAAAAGTTCCCAGCAAAGGTGTAACTCGAAGTCACCTGCTGGATCTGTATTGACAGAGCACTAATGGCTCAGTTTCTTGGGGAAGCAGCGAATGACACGCCTGCACACAATCTCAGTGATATAAGGGTTCAGGGGGTATCATGGGCCTCAGTTGTTCAGAGCTTTGTAACTTAATTCAAGGACCTTGACCCTGGCACAGTAGTAGATGGACAGCCAAGTACAGATGTTTTAACAACGGAGCCACATGTTGTCCGCCAGATGCACCCACCGGCAGTCTGGCTGCCTGGTTCTGCACCAGCTGGAACTTTCAAAGCAGGCCCAAGGGAAGCCCCACAGAGAGTTCATTGCTGTAGTCCACTCAAGGTTGCCAACACATGGAGTACAGTGTACATTTCCACCAGGAAGGGGAGCCTGTGGCCCTCCAGCTGTTCTTCAACTCCAATAGCCTTCCCCTCCATGAATGTGTCCAATCCTCTTTTAAAGCCATCCAAGTTGGAAGCCATCGCTCTCTCCTGCGGGAGGGAGTTCCAGAGTTTAACTATGAGCTACATGAAGATGGACTTTGCTCTATCTGTCTTGAATTTTCTGGCATTTAGGTTCTTTGGCTGTTCATGGCTTCCAGAAGTATAAGAGAGGGAGGAAACTTTTCCCTATCCACTTTCTCCATGCAAAGTATAATTTAATAAACTTCTAGCATGTCACTTCTTCCTCAACATTTTGAACGCTGTAACCTTTCCTCATCAGGAAATCACTCCATCCCCTTCATTATTTTGGTTGCCCTTTTCTGAACCTTGGCTGCCCTAAATGGTCTCTCCAGATGCAGGTTACAGCTACAATGTACATTGAAAGTTCTCTTGCCACTTTCCCCAGGCTGACAAGGAACCATTGGTAAGCCCTTGTTGGGTTTGGTCAGTCAACCGCCACCACAAATCCACCTAACAGTAACATTGTTTAGCCCACGTTTTAGCAGCTTCTCCACAAGGATATCATGGAGGACTTTGCCTAAAGCCTTACTGAATCCAAATACGTTACATTCACAGCATTCCCCTGATCCACCAAGCTTGTAATTCTTTCTCTCTGTATAGATATATTAAAGAAATAAGTTTAGTCTGGCATGACTTGTTTTTCAGAAACCCAGCCTGGCTCTTAGTAACCACAACTTCCTTTTCCAAGAGCTCACAGGCCACCTGTTTCATTATCTATTCTAGGACTTTTCCTGGCTTGAATGTCAAGCTGTCACTAGTTACCTGGCTTCCCTTTTCCCCATTTCTGAAGATGGGGACAATATTTGTCTGCCTCCAGTCTGCAGGGACATTACCTGTTCTCCAATGATTCTCAAAGATTATAGACAGAGGCTCTGAGATTACATCTGCACATTCTGCTAATACCCTTGGATGCAGTTCAAAGCAGCTAGGTGTTTCCTTACTGCCTCTTTTACTATCTTGGGCTGCAGCTCCCTCTCTGCATCATTTATTATACTATCACCAGGTTGGACACTGTTTTCCTTTTGGGAGAAGGCTGAGGGAAAGTAGGTGTTGAGCAGTTCTGCCTTATTTCACTCGCTCAATAGCATTTCTCCCTTTTTCTCACACAGAGGAAATAGTACTTCCTTATTCTTCCTCTTGCTCTGAGCATAGCCAAAAAAAAACCCTCATTATTATTATTTTTAACCTCTCTTGCAGTCCTGGGCTCTAGCCCACCTGACCTTCTCCCTGCGAGTGTTGGCTAGTCATGGATACCCTACCTTTGTAATTTTCTTATTCGTTTCTTCTTAAATCTCGGTTCATCCATAAATTCTTTATGCAACCACACTGGTTTCTTTAGATGCCTCCTACTTTTATTTTGTATTAGAATTGTTTGCGAATGTGCCTTCAGTATTTCACCTCTAAGAAACTCCTATCCATCATGAGCTCCCTTCTCTTGGGGCATTTCTGACCATAGGATCTCACCCAGTAGTTCTATAACCTTTTTGAAATTGGCATTCTTAAAGTCTAGAGTGCACATCCCACTACACTCAGCTTCCCCTTTCCTCCGCATCCCGAATTCCAAGAGGACATGATCACTTCCTCCCAAGTCTCCCACTACTTCTACTTCACCGAGCAGTTCCTCTCTGTTGGTGAGGATCAGGGCCACAATAGTTGATTCGCTTGTTGCTTCTTCCAGCTTCTGGGAAATGAAATTGTCAGCAAGGCAACTGAGGAATTTGTTGGACCTTACATTCTTGGCAAAGTTTTATTTCTAACAGATATTTGGGTAGCTGAAGTTTCCCATGACTGCTATAGCTCTCCTTTCTGAATGTTTGGTAATCTGCTCTAGGAAGGCATCATCCAAGTCTTCAGTCTGGCTTGGGGGTCTACAGCAGACACCCACAGTAAGGTCACTGTTGCTTCCCTCTCCTGTGACAACCTTTACAGACTACCCTTCCAAGGATTATTTGTGGGAAGCCACGACTGTTAAAGAGGTGCACAGCTGCTTTAGATATATGATCCAGATATGATCTAAGAGGCAGAGGACCTCTGAATATCAGGTGCTCAGGGTGGTGTTCAAACAATAGGAGGGATAGCTGTGGCTTCCAAGCACCCTAGTCAGCTTCCCAGAAACATCCGATCAGTCACTATTGTTACTGGAGTAAGGTAAAAGGTAAAGGAACCTGGACAGTTAAGTCCAGTCAAAGGTGACTATGGGGTTGTGGCACTCATCTCCCTTCAGGCCAAGGGAGCCGGTGTTTATCCACAGGAAGCTTTCCGGCTCATGTGGCCAGCATGACTAAACCGCTTCTGGTGCAATGGAACACTGTGATGGAAACCAGAGCGCACAGAAACTCTGTTTTCTTCCTGCCACAGTGGTATCCATTTATCTCCTTGCACTGGCATGCTTTCGAACTGTTAGGTTGGCAGGAGCTGGGACAGAACAACAGGAACACAGTCCGTTGTGGGGAATCGAACCGCCAACCTTCTGATCAGCAAGCCCAAGAGGCTCAGTGGTTTAGACCACTGTGCCACCCGCTTCCTCTGGATACCGGAGTAAAGGGGCCCTTAGTAGGGTGTCCACATAAGCATCAACCCCCCAAAAGGACACAGGTGTGTGTGTGTGTATTATATTATATACAGTGCTTTTCTTCTAGGAAAAAAATGGTTCTGGTACTGCATACCCTCGACTACCCCTAGGAAAAAAACACCGATTATACATATTATATAATTGCACATGTAAATTATGCAATTGCATGTGTGTGTGCATATTAATAAACATATATTTATATGCAGGCTTAGAAAGAATTACTATGGTCTGTATCCAGTGTTCTCTATCTTCTAGCAAGGACTCTCGGGCTAACAAATGGAAGCACTTTAATGTTGCACCGCAGAGTAATCTAATGCAACTGTTGTGCTAGCAGAAACCTCTTGTGCAACAGATTGCGCAATCTACTATGCAACACAGTTACCAGCAACCTGCTTCTCAATTCAATTGCACAATGAAGTTCTGCTGGTGCAAAACATTCCGCCAGCTGGGCAGGTATAAGTGGCTTTCATTTTGTGCTATCTTAGAGACAACCCTGTAATTTAAATAGAAATACAATCCATATCTGCCTAGTGAGGAAGCCAGTGACCAGGTGACAGCTGGGCGGGCTGGGCTGATGGGGGTTAGCCATCCATCGCTTCTGGAGTCCACCTGCTAGGGTAAATATTTTATTGTGGCCAATAGAATTCTGTAGAATTCTTGGAAGATATTTAATGACAAGAAAATGCCTCCAGTCACAAAGTGTGCCTTTACGTTATGCCCTGGAACCTACGCATGATATATAAATGAAAGCTTCTAACTTTGGAGCCCTCCAGACTATACAGCAAAGAGGAGATCACACCGACGCTTTCCGAAAAGGCACCAGTTTGATGAATAATGCATTTCCTTTGTCCTGTAGGAATTCTGGAAGCAGAGGTGCAATCAGATCGGCACTGAGCAGCTTACATGGCAAACCTAATAGGTTCGTAAATTGGATGTTGTGTTCATTTGTGTTTTGCTTTAAGAGGGCTATTAATCTGCTTCATTCTCTCTCTCTCTCATACACACACTCATGCTCACACATTCTCATGCATATTCTCTCCCCCCCCCTCCTTTCTCTTTTATGTGAAATGGTGCTCTTTCCACACACCTCATAGATATCTGTTCCTTTCCTGTTCTGCTTAATCATCCCTCTGTTCACCCAGAATCGTCCACCTCTCCCACAATACTCTCCTATCTCATTACCACCAGCAGCTTGTAGTCATTGAGACTGATTGGGCAGAAAGCAGGGAGATCAACAGTAGGTGGTGCCAGAGCCAATGGCAGGCAGCACCAAACAATTCTAGCTTTGCCCCTCACCTTGCTGAGTTCCACAAGGGTTGTGTACACACTATATCTTTAAAGCACGTGATTTCCCTCAAAGGATTCTGGGCAATGCAGTTTGTTCAGGGTTGCTGGAAACTGTGACTCTGTGAAGGGCCCATAATTCTTTTGGGTATCTTGAATGATCTTGCTGGAATCTGTGCTAATGGTTCCTCCTCTTTTTCTTCCTCCGCCACCACCTCTCCCTTTCTCTCTTTTTCTCCTCTCCAGAGCCGAAGTGTTAATAAATGGCTCCTTATCTCCAGCTGTTGTTGACAGAAGCAATGAAAGTATTAAGCACCATCCAGCTCCATCCAAATGGCAACACAACCAGACACTCTCTTTGAAGATCAGGTACTATCTAATTTCTAGGAATGGGCACATCAAAATCCAGTGTTGCAAGATTGGATGAAAGTTTGACGTTTGTTTCGAGATTTTGACGTATCTACATTTTTTTTTTCATTTGGTTTAGTTTTTTCAATTTGTGCATCATTTCACACAGTCAGCAGAAGGCTTGAGGCCATTTACGGAGAAAATATAAAAATACTTATAAAGAAGACAAGCACTAATAACATAACAGAAAAGCAATAAAAGCATTCATCCACAAATATCACCCAACAACATAAAACAACCGCTCCACCCAGATAAGAATAAGTTGACCCATAATTGATCTCAGTTATTCAAAAAAATATTCAAAAAATATTAAATTCTGTTGTAGCAAAGCTCGTTCTCTATTTGGAAATTTACAGACTTGGCAGATTTCATGGAATCATAGAATTATAGAGATGGAAAGAACCCCCGAATCATCTAGACCATGGTTAGGCAAACTAAGGCCCGGGGGCTGGATCTGGCCCAATCGCCTTCTAAATCCGGCCTGCGGACGGTCTGGGAATCAGCACGTTTTTACATGAGTAGAATGTGCCCTTTTATTTAAAATGCATCTGGGTTATTTGTGGGGCATAGGAATTCATTCATTTCCCCCCCCAAAAAAAAAATATAGTCCACCCCCCGCCCCCCACAAGGTCTGAGGGACAGTGGACCAGCCCCCTGCTGGAAAAGTTTGCTGACCCCTGATAAGTCTAGTCCATCCCCTTGCAATGCAGGAATCTCAACTAAAGCATTAGATCTACAAGCCAGGTTATTTTGAGTTTGGGCAAACTAGTAATTCCAGACAGAGCAGCAGCAGGGAGCTGGGGGCCAAAGTAGGAGTACCATGGGAAGTGAGGACTGAGGATTGCTGGTGCAGCATCTAAGTCACGAAGCCGCCAGTTCAAATGTTGTCTCTGCTATCAACTCAGTGGGCAGCCTTCAGCAAATCCCTTCATCTCAGCCCCCCAGCTGGAGGTAATGCGGCCACCAAGGTGGCTGATGTAAGCAGTACGGAGATAATTTCGATGTGAGCTGCTTGGAACACTCGCGTTATAAATTCCAAACAGCAGCCTCACTATTATTACAGTGAAATGCCTGTCATCATCATGAATGGGGTTTGTGCACACATGGTTTGTGTGTGTAAAGAGATCCTTCAAGAAAATGATGCTTTTGTGCCACATATGTGGCAGCCTTTTAGTTATATGTAAAAATGTATGTTTGTTTGTTTATACACTATCCTTTTGCCCCAAAGACTTGCAGAGTGGCATACAAAAAATATAAGGCTGGGATGGGGAACCCGCAACCTTCTAGATGCAGTCTACTGATGGCTCCATGGCAGAGGACCCTCAACATCACAACCATACCATTAAGACAGCACAACCATAGCATCAAGGCACAGCTTACATGTGAGGTAGCCAACATGGTGCCCTCCAGATGTAGGTGAACTGCAGCTCCCATCACCCAGCAGGGCCAATGGTCAAGAATTATGGAAGGTGCAATCCAGGAACATCTGGAGAACATCACATTGGTTACTCTGGATTACAGTACATAATAACATATACAGTGCAGCAACACTGCAAGAAATGGCATTACTCAAGTGTGATGGTCCTTGCGTCTTATCTTCTTTAGTTGTTGAGTCCACAAGCTACATAACTAGGTGCATGACTCTGAAAGGGTTATAGCTGCAGAAGGTCCCTGGTTCAATCCCAAACATCTCCATGCACAGTTGTGAAGGTCCCATGTCTGAAACCTTGGAGAGCTGCTTCTAATCAGTGTCGGCCAAGGCTGAGGAACCTTTGGCCCACCAGATGTTGTTGGACTACAATTCCCATCAGGCCCAGACAGCATGGACTATAGTCAAGGATTATGAGAGTTGTAGTCCAGCAACGGTGGACTAGCAACGGTCCAGCAACGGTGGGACGTGGGTGGCGCTGTGGGATAAACCACAGAGCCTAGGACTTGCCGATCAGAAGGTCGGTGGTTTGAATCCCTGCGACGGGGTGAGCTCCTGTTGCTCGGTCCCTGCTCCTGCCAACCTAGCAGTTCGAAAGCATGTCAAAGTACAAGTAGATAAATAGGTACCACTCAGGCGGGAAGGTAAACGGTGTTTCCGTGTGCTGCTCTGGTTCGCCAGAAGCAGCTTAGTCATTGCTGGCCACATGACCCGGAAGCTGTACGCTGGCTCCCTAGGCCAATAAAGTGTAATGAGCGCCGCAACCCCAGAGTCGGCCACAACTGGACCTAATGGTCAGGGGTCCCTTTACCTTTTTAGTCCAGCAACAGCTGGAGGACCAAAGGTTTACCAACCCTGGTGTAGACAATGCTGAGCTAGAAGGACAATGATTCTGACTAAGTTGAAGACAGCTTCCTGTGTTCCTAACTAGACTTATTGCCTCCCTCCCTCCTTTTTTCTTTTAAAAAGAAAGCACATCTTGAAATTTTTGGATGCTGAAAAAGACATCTCAGTGCTCAAGGGAACTCTCAAGCCTGGGGATATTATCCACTATGTGTTTGACAGAGACAGCACAATGAATGTTTCCCAAAACCTCTACGCCCTCCTGCCCAGGACTTCACCACTGAAAGGCAAACACTTTCGGACATGCGCCATTGTGGGCAACTCAGGCATCCTGTTGAACAGCAGCTGTGGAGAGGAAATAGATGCTCACAACTTTGTGATAAGGTAATGGTGGTTTCCAAGAAGCAGCACTCGGCTTTGAAGAAGGCCCTTCTCTTTAAAATAACCCCCAACCAAACCATGCATCTCAACTAGGGGTGGAGGAGAAATCCAATTCTGTTTGCATTTAAATGAACCGTAGACTTGGTAGAGACCCCAAAGGATCATCTAGTCAAAGACAGAATAGATTAGGGGGAGTAGACAAATTCACGGAGGATGAGGCTTTGAAGCTTTGAAGGCAGTAGTGTAGTGAAAAATTCAGAAGTGCATGACAGTGATAGCCTCTCCCCACTCACAGCCACACCTTTTCTAAGTTGATACCACCTGACAAAATTATACAGTAATCTTGTAATTATACAATAATCATATTATTAATAATAAGAGATGCATTGTGTAGAGATGCATCAGTGCAGATCTCCATGTGTTGCCTTTCAGCAACTTTCCATGCACATACGTGGGCAAATGATTTGCAGTGCTCCAATATCTTCTTTCAGAGTGAATTAATATGTGTTTTCCTTGACGTTCCATTGTACGTAACAAAACTTGAGCACCATTCTCTTGAAACGGAAGCCCCTTGTGTTTTGAGTGTTCCTAAATGCTTCACTTCAGGGCATAGGGTGGCTAAAAAGCTCCCCTTTCATGCTGACTGGGCAGCTCTAGGATGCCGGGGGCAGGTACCCTGATAAAGAAATAGTAGAGGGTCTTCAACCTCCAAGGACCCCAGACCACTACATGAAGGCTGTATCACAGAGCAGTTGCTGGGAAACTGAGCAAAGGAATGCTATTGTGCTCATGTCTTGCTTGTGAGCTTCCCAATGGGGTCATGTGGTTGGCCGCAGTGAGAATTGAATGTTGGACTATATGTCCCTTGGTCTGGTCCAGCAGGACTCTTCTTGCCTTGTTCTTAACTTCTGTGGGTTGTCTGTATGACTTTTACACAATGGGAAAGGAAGCATGAAGCAATGAGCGCTGAGCCACTTCATCACTCTTGTGGCTTTGCCAGTGCTTCAAGATAAGACTGTGACCATTGCTGACATACTACACAGGGAGGTGGGATTCCTTGTCCAAGTGCCATGTTCTTGGCTGGGCAACCTTCTTTTGCCCATGGCCTCTTGCACCACCACTCCTGACATGCAACCCGTAGGAAGTTTCCCGGAAAGGAATGGAACCCTCAGGTCAGAAAGGGTTTTTCCTTGCCAAAAAACAGACCCATTCCCTGATCATGTCAGACCCCCTTTTGGTGCCTGCTCTAATGTCCACTTCCGGGATGTGTGCCCTGACTTTCCCCCTTCCAGGTGCAACCTCGCACCGGTCCAAGATTACACCCGGGACGTGGGGACCAAGACAGATCTGGTGACCATGAACCCATCGGTCATCCAGCGTGCTTTCGAGGACCTGGTGAACGACACCTGGCGGGAGAAGCTGCTCCAGCGCCTGCACAGCCTCAACGGCAGCATCCTCTGGATCCCAGCCTTCATGGCCAAAGGAGGCAAGGAGCGTGTGGAGTGGGTCAACGAGCTCATCCTCAAGCACCGCATCAACGTCCGCACTGCCTATCCATCCTTGAGGCTGCTGCACGCCGTCAGAGGGTGAGGAGTTTGGCACCCCGGGCCAAAAAAGCACTCAAAATTTGGCTCTTGGGAGACGTGCAGAGCAGTTCCTGATGGTCTTTGTCTTTAATGCTTTAGTGCAGTGATGTGGGGTGGGGGACCTCAGGCCCTGGGGTCAAATCCGGCCCACCAAGCCTCTCTATTCCCCAGGCCACACCTCTTCTCTCTAGGCCACGCCCCTCACAGGCCCTGCTTCACAAGAATAAAACTCACCTTTGTTGCTCTGCTCTCCTTTGCTCTGGCCCTGACTACTCCTAGCATGTGGCCCTCAACAGGTGGTTGAGAAGGGAATGCAGACCTCAGTCCAAGAAAGGTTCCTTGCTCCTGCATTAGCTTGTATTTATCTGAATTTGAGCAGAGATGCAGAGAGAAAGGGATGCTTAACTTTCCTTGTGGGCTGTTTTGCTGAACAAAATCACCAACACCCAACTGTGTGTCGTTGTTGTTTTAATGTCTATACTAGCTCCACGTATCTTTTTCCCCTGCTGGAAGATAAAGCAGTTTGAAGGGGTACCTTGCTTGCTTGCATGCTTGCTTGTTTTTGATCAGCAGACAAACAGCCTGCAAGGAAAAAGCAACGCCCCTCTTCCCAGGCCATCTTCTGGTGGCACTGATCAAAGATGAAGTCCCCTGCAGAGGCATCCCAGTTAAACCAAGCCTGCCTCACATCTCCCATCAGGGATGACACTCACAAATTCAGTTTTGAGAGATGGCTTCTAAAAACTGTACGCCGTTCAGAGCCTTCAGCAAAACAGCATGTCCTGGGATTGTTTGTTTCATGTTCAAATGCCATGCTCATTTTAAAAAAGAAGAAGAGAGAACTAAAAACTAGTGCAAGGGTAGTTCTTCATGAGCTATATTTCTATGTGCAGGGAGGTTTGTTGGTTGGGTTAGAGAAAGGACGTGCACACATAACTCTATACAGATCGTACATTTAAAGAACCCTGGGAGCTGTAGTTTACCCCTCAAAGAACTATAATTCCCAGCACCCTTGGCAAACTATTAGGGAGGGATGTGCTGTTCCCTGACTCCTATACTAGGCTTAATAGCATGTTTACTCTGAATGTGTGGATCGGCACTAAATATTGATGTACACATATATGCATGAATTAATCCCTGCATCATCTATGGTAGGAGATACAGGTGGAGATTTCAACCCTTGGCTGTGGCTCTGCTCCTTCTTGCAACACAAGGAAAAGCAGGAGAGGAATCACAGCCCATTGCATGCAGGTGCACAAGCCTGAATGGCTCCAGAAACACACACAGCAGAACCCACTAGCCCACAGCAGGTGGACTTTTGCTCTGTCTGCCAACAGGAATGACACTGTCAACAGAAGCTAAACATACGAGAGAGAGAGATTCCATTTTGCAGTAGGCTTAACCCAGGGTTTGATGAGGCCCTAAGCTACTGAAGGTAATGGGACCCTTTATATGTCTAGCTGTCCTTTGTCAACAACAAATTGCTGCTGTTTTTTGTGCTGAATAAATGCTATATGGTAATTTATAGATAATTTATAGATCTATTAGGTCTATAGATTTATAGAAATCTATAGACCTAATAGATATCTAAAGCCATTTGCACATGCAGAATGTAGGCACCCTGTATATAGCAATGAGCAAACCAGTGATATTTTAGGGAGCAGGCTAGCAGGCAGGGCCCATTACTTACATCATAGAAGCCTACACAACACAAAACACTGTTGCTGTACGTAGGTTTTATTTTATTTGCTTTTTATCTTATATTTTGGAAATGAACATCCAGGGTTTTTTCCCCTTTAAATCCCCCCCCCCGAGAGTGTGCCCCTAAACTATAGCTTGTTTAGCTTATACGTAAATCCAGCACTGGCTTAATTCTACATCTCCACAGCAAGGAGAAGGTTGGTGGGTGGGTGGACCGGAAGAGAAACAAGGGTCTCTTACTCAAATCTGCTCTTTTCCAAGCTGTAATTAAGTGGATTTCATGAAAGAAGCTTTGCATATCAACTGGTTCCTAAACCTGTGCTTGCATCTGTCACCTCGTGCAATAAGCTATCAGCCAGGCTTGCTGCAATTTGGAGAGGCTCCCTGGATCCCTGGAGGTGCCACCAGGGCAGACAAGGTGGAGGATGAGCAGATTTGGATCTCCTTTTCTGACTCATCCTGAGCCAGGAAGGTATGGGGCCAAAGTGTAATTGTGCAGATCATGGTAGGGATTGAGTAGGACTGCCAGCTCTTTGTTTCTGGCAGGGGACCTGTGCCTTTAAGGCATTGCCTAGCAGAAATTCAACAGCTGTTAGATTTTGGGGGCCTTGAAAACCACCTGGGCTATGCCACGGGGGGAGGAGGGGGAGGAATTGGTGACAGCGGGGAAGATTCTTGCATCTAAATTTGGAACCGGCTGTCCAGCTGACAAATCTTCTATGTACATTGTCCGTCAAAGGGTTGCTTTTCTCTGCTTGTTTGGTTTTCCGCCCATGAAACGGTGCCGCAGGCTAGCAGGTCAGATGGCGAGAGGAGCGCAGAGGGCTTGTCTGTTGCAAAGACACGTCCGCGCTGTAATGAATAAGTTGGGAAGGCGGGGTGAGGAGAGCCAACAGCTGGGGCTGGGAAGAGCTAATTCAATTAGAGCTCCAAGCCACGGACAAGGTCCACGCTTGCAGCCAAAAAGGCAGCAAGATGACCAGCTGTCTTGTGGGCATGTATAATATGTCACTCAGCTCCAATGGGGAGGGAAGGCAAGGCAAGGATGCAAACAGATGGTTGATGACTACACAGTGCTGCTCCTTTGCACCCATGATGCCATGGCATCCTCCTGCCCAGATAACAAGGGCCCCGAGAGATCATCCCATCCCTTCTATACCCGGTTGACCAGTGCACTCTCCAGGTGAGGGTCTAAGAAGAGCCTGTGGGTCAGGCCAAGGCCCAGTTCTCATCCAGTTCTCCAATCAGATGCTCATGAAAGCAGGACCTGAGAACAACATCACCTCTCTCTCCAATCTTGCCTCTGACAGTGAAGGTAGAACAGGGTTTCCCAAACCTGGGTCTCCAGCTGTTTTTGGACTACAGTTCCCATCATCCCTGGCCACTGCTCCTGCTAGCTTGGGATGGTGGGAGTTGTCATCCAAAAACAGCTGGAGATCCAAGTTTGGGAAACTCTGAGGTAGAGCTTTCAAGACTGTTTGTGCCTGCAAATAATAAGAAGAAGAAGTTATTATGTGTTCCCCAGCCACTCTGGGCAGCTTCCACAGAGACCAAAAATACACTAAAATGTCACCATTAAAAACTTCCCTAAACAGGGCTGCCTTAAGATGTCTTCTGAATGTCAGGTAGTTGCTCATCTCTTTGACATCTGATGGGAGGGTGTTCCAAAGGGTGGGCAACACTACCGAGAAGGCCCTCTGCCTAGTTCCCTGTAGCTTTGCTTCTCACAATGAGGGAACCTCCAGAAGGCCCTCGGCGCTGGACCTCAGCGTCTGGGCAGAACGATGGGGGTGGAGATGCTCCTTCAGGTATACTGGGCTGAGGCCATTTAGGGCTTTAAAGGTCAACACCAACACTTTGAATTGTGCCAGTCTAGCTGCCGCAAAGGTTTAGGGCCAGACCTACTGCTTCATTTGCAATCAGTGTTTGCACCATAACCTCCTGCTGAAGTCCTTTTAACTTTTCATACTCCAGTTGACCCTACGTTTGTTGTGCTCTAGCACAGGAGTGCCCCATGGCAACAATGCAGGGATGCTGGGAAAGCAGTGCAGAAGAGCTAAGAAAGCAGAATGGTGGGTGGTTGAGTGTAGCTCTACCACTAATGCACTAGTGTTGCATCAGTGACTTGTCGCAGAATATCCATGGGGCAGTGGGGGTGGAGGACAGCAGTCCGGAGGGGTCTCTAAGTCACTGTGATGCCAGGGGGTCTTACCTCCACTGCTGGAGGCAATGTGTCTCTGAATAACAGTTGCTGGGAATCAGAAATGGGGAGAAGGAAGGTTCTTCTCCTGTTTCTATGTCAACATGAGAAAATCACCAGGGGTGCACAATAAAAAGGACCTCTTGGGGGCCCTTAAAGAGCCCCCATCAGATATTTAAAAGGTAAAGGGACCCCTGACCATTAAGTCCAGTCGTGACCGACTCTGGGGTTGCGCCGCTCATCTCGCTTTATTGGCCAAGGGAGCCGGCGTACAGTTTCCGGGTCATGTGGCCAATATGATTAAGCCACTTCTGGCGAACCAGAGCAGCGCACGGAAACGCCATTTACCTTCCTGCCAGAGCGGTACCTATTTATCTACTTGCACTTTGACGTGCTTTTGAACTGCTAGGTTGGCAGGAGCAGGGACCGAGCAACGGGAGCTCACCCCGTCATGGGGATTCGAACCGCCGACCTTCTGATCGGCAAGTCCTAGGCTCTGTGGTTTAACCCACAGCGCCACCCGCGTCCCTATTATCAGATATTTATTTTTACAAATTCTCTTTTTCTGGCTTAGGAAGAAAATACTCCCTGCTTGCTGAAAAGAGGTATCAAACAGCAGGTCCTCAGCCCTTTTTCCAGCTTCCTGAGTCAACACAAATCTCAGGCTTCAACAGCAAGGCTGATTGGTGTGGCCAATTTGACGGCAGTGGGGGAAAATAATTACAGTCTTCCTCAAGACAGCCTCCCTTCCTAATTAAAACCTGGAGTCTCCAGCAGCAAAAGGTGCTCCGTTGATGTGGCATCCCACGTGCACTTGAGGCACCTTCGTTTGGGTCTGCAAAATTAATTAGCTTTTTTTACGGTCCTCAGCTGTTTTGCAAAACAGAAGAGCTGTGCTTGGCACCTACATGGACAGTGTCAAAGCTGACCTGAGTGTGAAGAAAGAGATAATGCAGCAATTTGTTCCTCATTTAGAAGTCTAGCCAGGATATTTTCCCTCCCCAAATCAAACGTTATGGCCTCAGTGCTCCCTCTGCACCACCCTCAAGAGATCCTGCAACACACTAAGGAGGGGCAAATCTGTCAATTTCTCATTTTTCCAAACGAGTTCAGTTTTCCACAGGTCCACAGCGGTTTGTGATTAAAAATAAACAAATCCTTGTGATCATTCTCCAGCATTTTAGTGCAAATTCCTCCTAACACACACAACTTTGTACACACTTTTGCCTAATATAAACATTTTTGCAATGTTTCTTATATGCATGCACGCACGCACACGCACACACACTATTTACCCTATATAATGCATTTTAATATGTCATTTTCACTAAGAGATGCATTTACCCCAGTAAATTGCATTGTCGTACACATGATTTGGCTGAAGAACTGTAAATGCAAAATTTGGAGGTGTGCACATTCTGAAGAATGAGCATAGAGTTTCAAAAAGTGCAAATGAGGTCAATTTGAATCAAATTTCTTCCCGGCCTGGGAGTCCCCATCCTTGCCTTAAAGAGACAGATTCCCAGGAAATACAGAGGGAAGAGAAGAAAGAAGGGGGTGGACTGAGATTTATAGCTCTGTGAGGTCAGCACCCTTAAACTGAAGTTCCCAGGAGTCTTCTTGACTGCTGAAGTTGTCTAAGAGTGGTTTAATTTTACGCAATGGATGTGGCCAGCATTTCCCTTTTGTCTGTCCTTGACCCGCCGCAGTTCACTTTCCTTGGGCGATGAGTTCCAGCCGTCTTTTCTCTTTTTCCCTCCTAGGTATTGGCTGACAAACAAAGTGTACATAAAACGCCCAACCACCGGACTGCTCATGTACACCCTGGCCACGCGCTTCTGCAACCGGATCCATCTCTACGGCTTCTGGCCCTTTCCCCGAGATCAAGACCAGAACCCCGTGAAGTATCACTACTATGACACTCTGAGATATGGCTACACATCGCAGGCCAGCCCTCACACCATGCCCTTGGAGTTCAAAGCCCTAAAGGCACTACACCAACAAGGAGCCTTGAAACTCACTGTGGGGGAGTGTGAGGGGGCCACGTAGGACGGGGTTTCTGGGGGACCCACTTTCCTAGAGGCTATGCCCCATGGGAGGAAGGGGGAGGGGGAGGCACAGATGAGCAGCAAGTGGTGATGGTGGTGGCAGTAGTGGGATTGGTTTTCTTTGTTGACGTCCAGAATGGGGGATGCATGAGACCTGTATCCGGGGTACAGGTTGTGCTCTACCTCTGATGGTGTTGCTGTTTGGTGTTCGCGGGTGGAACGTGAGGGACAGGACTGGTGAGAGAAGCAGCCCCAGACAGGGGAGAGTGGCTGGGTGCAGAAGGGGGTTGGTACTTAACGGCAGCCTCCCCCTATCCCACAAAAAAAAAACACCAAGCTTGGGAAGTCGCTGTGGTTTGTGTGGGTACTTTAGCGTGACAACTAAATGTTAGGGCCAAGTGTTGTGAGTTGGTAGGTAGGGCCTGTTTGGCCAAGAAGCCAGATTTCTGGCTCGTGTTGTGTTCTTGGCTTAGTGGTAACAAGGGGGGAATAGGGGTGGGGGTTAATCCTTAGATCTGCCTGAGAAAGCAAAGAGGGGAGGGGAGTGAGGAGTAGCAGCCACGGCCGGTTCTCCAAGGGCATCAATCCAAGAGACGTCGACTGAGCTTCTCCCTTTCAATCTGAGACTATTTCTTAAGTGAAGGGGGTGCCCTTTGGTTTCCGGAAACCGCTAGAAGTTCTCCGGCGTCTTGCTGCAGAAAGGCAAACCGAAGATCCTTGGAAACTAGTTGGCTGGGTTTGTTGACATTTCTACAGGAAGAGAAAATGCCAGGGCCTCAAGAAGATGTAATGTGGCTGATGTAAAATAAATGAAATTCACACACACACACACACACACACACACACACACACACACACAGTTAAGGTGGACTTAGAAAGGCCGCTTGGTTTTCTTTCCTTTTCTATCTTTCTTAGCAAAAGTCGTTGGGATGTAGTATGTAGAAGGTGCCTACCGAAAGCAATTGGTGTCAAGAGTTCCAGCTTTTAGAAGACTTGAGGTGGATTTGAACTCATGACTGGTTCTCTAGCTGAATCAAACTGCAGAGCTCAAAAAAACAAGCTGAATCTTCCAGATCACCCAAGTGACTGCTTTGCTGTGGTCTAGCTGATTTGTTATTAAACCAGTTATTTTAAGTCACTGTTGCCTTCTGTTTCTTCTTGTAGTTCTTTATTAAAAGGTTGGTATGCCGTCCTCACTTACAACAATCACTTTCTCTGGATATAGGCCTGGTTTTCACTGGCGGCAGGTTAAGGAGGTAATCCTGTATGTGAGATGCATCAATGCAGACTGCAGGTGTGGTCTGAAATGACTGAACTCTCCTCATATCAAAGCAAAAAGAAGAACCCTTTGTCGAAAACTAGCACATCAGGGGGAAGGGTAGGGTGGAACCACCACCCTGTTGAAAGGCCAACAGCAGGGATCGTTCTCTTTGCAATTTAAGGGTTAATTCTGTTACCAGTACATCAGCTAAACAAGAGGGGGGTGTTGCTTAGCAACCAAGCAGAGTGACATGATCTTCACTGAGGTAGTACGTGTTCTGATTGGCTGTGTGGTTCTGAGGGTGTCTTCCCTCTGCTTAGTAAAAAGGGCTCCCTATGTACAAGGGTCCCAACGTGGGGCACATGCCCCACAGGGGGGCAATTTGATTTTTAAGGGGGACAATTTGGGAATGAGTTAGACCAAGTTAATGGCCTTTTAGGCTTCCTGCATGTGAATAGGAGTTCACTTTTTGAATAATAAGAAATATATTTCACGGCGGGGGGATCAGGATTTTAGAGATGCTTAGTTGGGGCATGGCCAAAAAAAAGGTTGGGAACCACTGGTCTAAACTAAGAATGACAAAACCTCTCCATTCCTTTCTCTACAAATTACACACTGTTTTTCTGTCCAGTTTCCTCAGTAAAGTGATATCCAGACTTTCCTCTCTGGAGTCTGTCAGCAGTATTTAAATGAATTGCTAACACTTCCCTCCAGCATTTTATTTTTAGTAGACAGGATTTTTGCTTGTATGGAACAGCATTCCTTCATGGGAGCCCTCAGCCACACTTGGTGCTCACATACCAGCAAATTTATATTGAACAATTATAGTCAATTGGGATGCCTTGCACAACAAGCCCACTTCCTGTTGTGGAGCGGTGGAGGCCACAGTTCTGGCAGATAGAGGATGACCCAGAGGAAGACACACCAGCAGCTACTGGGGGCCCTTGGGACTCTGGCCAGGAGACCTCAGCATCCAAGTGGAACATGGAAGGGCATCAGAGGAGCTGGTGGATGAGAAGCCAATGGGAGAGCAGGAAGAAGAGAAGAGGAGATGCCACAGCCCTCCAACACGGAGGGGGCTAGGATGCTGGAGTAGCTGATAGACTATACTGAAATGGGGGAAATGACCGGGAGAATCAGAAATCAAGAAGACAAGAACTTTAATAGGGAATGGGGGGAATTTATAAGTTCCCTTGGAGAACACTGTAAAGAACTAAAAACATTGGCAGGACTGTTCTAACACTTGTAACAAGAACTATGGTAAGAGTTTTAAGAAAAAACGGAAGTTATTATAAGATGCAGTTGAAAAAGACTAGTAATTATTATTATTATTATTATTATTATTATTATTATTATTATTATTATTTATTTGTACCCCGCCCATCTGGTTGGGTTTCCCCAGCCACTCTGGGCAGCTTCCACAAATACCAAAAATACACTAATATATCATACATTAAAAACTTCCCTGAACAGGGCTGCCTTAAGATGTCTTCTGACGGAATAACGGAAACCATGGAGGGGTGGAGGGAAGTCTTAGGATTTTTATAAATGATTTTTATTGGTTTTACATATAATCACATTACGTAACATCGTATCCTCTTGTTTTATCTCTTTGGCTCGACTGAGCCTAAGGACTTCCCTCCCTCTCATCTGATGGTTTACAAAATTAAACTGCACATCTTTACATTTTGCTTCGTTTCCTATCCTTGTTATATCATTACCTAAAATATTATATTACTGAACCTGAATAGGTAGCAATTTCAGCTTACAGATCTTCAGATAACCCTGCGAATGGTGTTAATTGCTTACAGTGGTCTTTCAAATATAATATAAATTTGTTCCAGTCCTTATGGAATGCTTGGTCTCGCTGGTTCCGGATTCTTCCCCTCAGTTTTGCCACTTCTGCGAAGTCCGTCATTTTCATCTGCCACTCTTCTTTTGTTGGTAACTCCTGTTGTTTTCATCTTTAGGCTAACAAAATTCTTGCCACAGTTGTTGCATATAAGAATAATTTTTTATCTTGTCTCAGTATCTCTCTACCCACTATACCTAATAAAAATGCTTCTGGTTTTTTAACAGAGAAGTCTTAGGATTCAGGGAATCCTAGTTTGTTTAAGAGTATGACTGATATTTGAATTTAAAATATATTTGTAAAATTGAATATTATTTTTTTAAGGATGTTGGAGAAACATGACTTCCCACTCCTGCTGCCTCCAAGGGCCAGAAGGCAGAGGGCAGAACAGCTGAGGCAACCGGTATGAAGGAGTGCAAGATTGAGAGCTCATGACTCGCCACCTGAAGCCAGTTAAGGGCCAGGTCAGCACTGAAACCAATGGAGCCAAGACTCAGGTGGAGAGTCTGTGCCCAGCAACTGAGGACTATATAAGAGGAGAGGTAGCAGGCACTCAGAGTTGCCTGCCACAACTTTCCAGGGTGGTTGCTCGCTTGATACGAGAGTTGCATGGGAAGTGACACTGGAGACTGGCAGAGGCAATGACAACTGAGGGAAGTGAGAAGAGCATCACCTGAGCAGTGGAGGAGCATGTTTTAACTGATTGTAAAAGTGCCCTTTCTTCGGAAATGATCAAAGACTTTCCGGGTGATGTTGAGGTGCTCCTGTGAGAGGAAGCACACAGCTTGATAGCAGCTGCTAATGGATCACTCTGGGCTGATGGTGTTCCAACCAGGAATACCATCATGGCTTCCTATTTGAGAGTAGCTCCCTATGTGAGAGGGGAGGTGCTAAAAGCCCTTCTGAAATATACTCGGAGTTGCATAGTGATTTCATGCTCTTTATTGCATCTCATAACAGTGAATTGAGTCCCCCCCCCAAAAAAACCCCCAACCTTCAGGCTTTATATACATTATTTATACAATGGGTCCCGTGTGATTGGCTGACTCTGCTTCCCTCCTGGGGCCTGATTGGGCTGTTCCTGCAGGCCAATCCGGTTGTTGCATTCTAGGATCCTACCTGCCTATTGGTCTAGGATCCTAGCTCAGTACATAACACCTTCCCTGTGAACTAAAATCATCACACACACACACACACATTAAATGCTCATTAAATTTTCTGGTATGTGGTTGAACCCCACATGAAAATAGTAACAGCCCAGATGCACCCTGACTCTCTAAGAAGCTACAGAAGTCTTTCTAAATATAATAATATTTTGTTCCTTTTTCCATGCGGAAAGTTACATTTGTTACTCAACAATTATATTCCAATTGAACAAAACTAGTCACTTCCCGCTCACCCAGCATCAATGTTTATAACCCAAATGACGTGCAGCTGTGTTTTAAGGTTCTGCCTTATCTAATTTCATCCTCTCTAATGTGTTTCTTAATATGTTCTGCTATTTTCTTACACTTCAAACTCCCCTGTGGTCTTCGCATATGGAAAAAAAAAATTTATATAGACTAGAGAGGGTCTCCAGTCTTCTTTAAGATGCTACAGGTTGTTTTTGCTTCAACCCACAGTGTGAAGCCGCTTGCCAGTGTCTGCTGTGTGTGTGTGAACTGGCACTTTATTGCATTCACCTTGAGTCTTCACAACAAGAACATGATGGATTACGTTTTGAGAAACATCAGTGGGGAAAAGTGCTGCCGGAACACACACAAAAAGGCTTTTTGCGGTTATCAAAGGCTCTGTGCAATTAATGACTTCATTAGCGGGCCTTCAAAGCCGAGCGTTCTCAGGGAATCTTGTGTGACTGCAGGAGGGGACGTCAACGCAACACCCACAAAACACACGCCTGGCATGCAAGCACATATTATTTAAATCTCTGTAATTTACTAAGCCGCAAGGGGGTGGTCCAAGCTGATAACCTCCTCTTATTCTTTGAAGTTTTTTCTTTCCATAAAGGTGCAAGGCTGAAAAACGTTGGATGTGGTGGGTGGGTTTAGAACCACCAAAGCTGGGGGAAATGGGAATCCAATAAAGAAGGCTTGCTTAGGACAACCCTATGAGGTAGATGAGACTAATAGCGAATGACTGGCCTAAGGTCATCCAGTGATCTTCGTGGCTGAGCACTCCCTATTGACTTTAAAAATAATGTCAACTTTGATGACATGACAAAATCATTGGTGAACAGTTTAAAATAATACAGCACAGACTGAAGCTTAGGAAGAAAAGTCTCAGTTGCGGCAATTGTTGCGTACTAGAAGAAAATGGCACGGGTTGGTTAAATGGAGGTTTTAGCGGTTGTCATGACTCAGCCCCACAATCAATTCTGTTTGATGCCAGATGGTGGTGAGTTTAAGAGAATAACTTATAGAATCATAGAATTGTGGAGTTGGAAGTGACTCCAATGTTCATCTAGTCTAGACCCCTGCTATGCAAGAATTGCCACTAAAGCAAACTAAGGCCCGGGGGCCGGAATCGGCCCAGTCGCCTTCTAAATCTGGCCCACGGGTGGTCCAGGAATCAGCGTGTTTTTACATGAGTAGAATGTGTGTTTTTATTTAAAACGCATCTCTGGGTTATTTGTGGGGCATAGGAATTCGTTCATTTCCCCCCCCAAAAAAATAATATAGTCCGCCCCCCCCCAAGGTCTGAGGGACAGTGGACCGGCCCCCTGCTGAAAAAGTTTGCTGACTCCTGAACTAAAGCATCCATGACAGACGGCTACTCAACCTCTGTATAAAAACCTCCAAGGAAGAAGAGTCGACCACCTTCTGAGGGAGTCTGCTCCAATATCAAAAATATCTTGCCCACAGAAAGTACTTCCTGGTACAACTCTGTAGCTAAGAATTAGAGCATGGGCTTTTCTTTTCCCTCCTCCCACCCTGGCATTGTGTTTGTGTGTGATGTATAAAGGTAAAGGTAAAGGTACCCCTGCCCGTACGGGCCAGTCGTGACCGACTCTAGGGTTTGCGCGCTC